TCCAATATAGCAGCTGTGGAATTTGGGAAATGTTGCGTTCTTTTGTGTATGTTGAAGACTTTTGAGTCCCGACAAGAGGTGCCTCGTGGACACGGCAGGTGCTTGGCGGAGGTCAGTGAACCTTGGTACAGTGCAGCTGGGGGAGGGTGGGGGTGGTTTGTCACTCTACTGCCGTTGCAGTACAACAGTTCAGGGTGGGTACAGTGGAGGCGTAGGCACATTGTTGCTTCTACGCGCAAGGATCATTATTCTTCCTCTTCCTCCTCCTACTACTACTACGACGACGACGACAACGACTACTACAACTACAACTACTACAACTACAACTACAACTACTACTACTACCACTACTGACAACTACAACTACTACTACCACTACAACTACTACTACAACTGCAACCACTACAACAACAACTACTACTACTACTACAACTGCAACTACAACCACTACAACAACTACTACTACTACTACTACGACGACGACGACAACGACAACGACTACTACAACAACAACTACTACTACTACTACAATTACAACTACTACTACTACAACTACTACTACCACTACTGAAGATGCTACTGATGTTACTGCAGCTACGGCCACGCTGTTCTTTGTGCTTCCGACGGTGGATAGCTCAAAACAGCTAAACAATTACGCCTACTGTGTCTTATATATGGAACACTTCGACATCACATCTATGGCTATTAATTCTACACGTCTTTGACAACGAAACATGTTATGAATTAATAATGTACTCAGGAGAACCCATGAGAGCGGGTATGGTCCTGACTGGCCTAGAGGCATAATAAGGCGAACCAGGATTCGAACTCAAGAACATAGGTTTCCGGAGAGACAAAGGGACATAACTCTGCACAGCGAATTGCAGTGCCTTGGGCGACAAGGCGTCTTGTTCACCTCAAAGAATATGTATGAGTGCCTTCCCAGATTAAATTATCCTGTACAAATACATGCGTAGCTATGCTTCTCAAATTTGCCAAGGATATTGCTTTTGGGGACAGTAGTTGAATTTTAGCACTTTTCCAGCAATATCACGGCGGGGGGACACCAGACCTAGGCTTCACACCTTGTACCCATGTGGGGAATCGAACCCGGGTTTTCGGCGTGAAGAGCGAACGCTTTAACCACTAGGCCTCGGGACAGACACAGACCGCATGTATTTAGTATATCTGTATACTTTCACATATCATCTGTGTTATAGATTATCAGTTAAACGGTTTCTTAAATGAGACCTTCACCTGTCAACGGTCATACGAAACTTGACATCCGTGACACGACGATCGTACTCCAAAATTGTATAAATACCACCCAAAAAATTATAAAAAACAATTATAAAGATGACAATACACAATATGAGAACAATAACGATAGCTAGTTCTGGAACAGTTTACGCTTATCATGTACTTGAATAATGTATTCAAAAGTTAACGATATTTAACATTTAAATATAAAAGGAATCTGACAATTGCAAGCCAGTTGTCGGCTAGCTGGCGTCAATCACCGGAGAATGCTACAAACCTGTCACTCAAGACGAGCAAGTATTGACCTAAGAGGAGGAAGCGTGTCGGGACGATGTTCAAGACAACGTTGTCAACATATCTGACCTTCGGCCCTCCCTACTGACCGTCGGTCAACAGATATTCATACACATAACCCTCACAATGTCAAGACCAAGAGGCGCGTCGGCGAAGTCGTCAGCACACGGTATGCCAGCGTCTCCGTCCTGTTTGATTTCCCGTGGAACGTTGGGTCTTCATATTTAATAACTGGAATTCTTGCCAAGGGAATTAACCAAATTTAAATTGTTTGGCAGCAAATTACACTCCAAGGTTGCGGAAGAGTCAAATTTGGCGTCTTTTCAATTAAGTGAGACGATGACACACTTGTGTTAATCTGTGTGTGCCTGGAGACAGCCTCACCCCACAACCACCACCTCCCCCAAAACCCAGATTGGGTTTTTAGGTATTGGCGTCGAAGTTTGATGTCAGTGAAGAAAGCATTTTCTTTGTGATGCTCATTAAAAAAAAACACCTTTTCGTTAGATGATGACTCAAACATAGCAATGTTTTAAAAAAATAGATGTCCTTTTTCTTTAAAAGAACCCCAACATGATGTTAAACAGAATGAAGGTTATGTGTTAAAATTCTTATAAGAATTAATTCATTCTGGGTTTGTACTAAAATATAACAGTGATGATGTCGAAAGTGTGATACTATAACGGCATTAATACTGATGATGACACAGTACTATTGACGATGACGGTACAAATGATGACACAGTACTAATGACGATGACGGTATTAGTACTGATGATAATACTAATTTTGAGACACTATCAATGGCGATGACATCATCAATGATGATGTTGAAGTAAAATGATGACGACGGTGTTAATGATGGTTTATGAGGTCATTATTAATTATGCTGAACACATTAATGATGAGTATGGAGTCAATAGGTATAGGCACTCTATTTACTCACAAAAGACATATTATATCCGTTTTACCAGTACAAGCTACCTGGAGAAATGAAGGTGTAACATTTGCTCATGTTGAAGCGCTGGGTGTTAAATCATCCGTTAACCCGTGAAGGTCCGGGTTAGAATTGATTTTCAGTAACCCATGGCATGCTTGTCACAAGGGGCGACTAACGGGATCGGATGGTCAGGCTCACTGACTTGATTGACACGTTCCATCGTATCCCAATTGTGTAGTGTGATGCTCATGCTGTTGATCACTAGACTGTCTGGTCCAGAACCGATTATTTACAGACCGCCACCATACAGATGGAATATTGCTGACTGCGGCAACAAACAAACTAAATCATCAGGTGGCAAGTTGTACCAACCACACCTGCAGTAGGTACGCCGGTCTCAGTGGGTCAAGCTTTGATATCGGGTGGCCAGGTGTGTCAACATTCCCTGGTAATATTGGTTATTGGGCTCATGTTATCCTTCACTGGCTTTACATACGGGCCACCGCTTTACATACGGGTCCTAACAAGATTCATTACGAATATTCCTAACAAGATTCATTCACTCGGCCATTAAGCCAATCATTACGTAATAGACAAATGAGAAATAAGTGAAATTAATTTCATTATCATAATTTGTACCCCAAATAGCGTTATAAGGGGAATCCACATTCCCCTTTAAAGGTGACACTTTATCGATCAGTGCACTGTCCAATCGTGGCCAATACATGTTGACGGGTTCTGTGAGAGAAAGTGTCATGGAACGAAGGGCATGCGTTTGTATAACGCGAGTCTCGTCAGCTGATTGCCTTGTAACAGGCATGTGGTCAGAGGGGTGGACAACTTGACAACGGGTCAGAAGATAATATTCCCTGCCCCACAGAGGGCGATGCGATAAAAGTAGTAAAATCAAGGAACTTCCTCTACGACAATTTGCATGTGAAAGCGCACAGGTCGGGCAGTGGTAGTGACCCGTGACGATATATGCAAACTATACTGATAATGAAAATAAACTTATCGCACAGCTGCGTGTCTGAGTTCTGAACTGATGAATGTGAAACTACAGGATCATATATAGCTGTTATTCTCGCCTATCTCACAGAAAATATGACGGGCCGGGGGGGTAGCCTAGTGGTTAAAGCGTTGGCTCGTCACGCCGAAGGCCTGGATTCGATTCCCAACATGGGTACAATGTGTGAAGCCCATTTCTGGTTTCCCCTGCCGTGATATTGCTGGAATATTGCTAAAAGCGGCGTAGAACCATATTCACTCAATACTCATTCGTCTTATACATACACAAGCAATCGAAGATCCAGACTCACAGGAGTCTCCACACAGACACGCGAACATAGGGACATTGGCTCTGATGATCGACATCATCATTGTTCAACATTAATGTTTCATTGATTGAAAAACATATTTAATTCAGTCGCTTACTAATATATCTTGTAGCTGGAAGTAAAATTAAAACATTGTCACTCATCCCGTATATTGACTGAGTTCAAAGTTATATCTTTCACCATCGTGGTGAAATGGTCCTTGCTGTTGGCCCGTAAAGTCATTGTTGGGGCGCTTCAAACAGTTAAGCAAGATTATAGTTCAGTGTTGAAAACAGAAAATACAAATTACACGAAACACTGTTGGGGATTAAGAAAGCACAATGAAGTGTGAGAAACATTTTTTTATCCCTGGTTACAGATGTAATAAAAAAATATTGACAAAGCGACTCTTATCATTTAGTAATAGCCACTTACTTTTGCATATTACTGTACTTGTCACGGAGTCCTCTTTGATTTGTAAAGCCAGTACTACCCGAGAACTACACACATCGTTCTGATACCTGGACACAGGATATTCTTGCCGTCATGTTTTAAACGCAAGATATATCATTCCTTTATTGCATATGTTTTGGAGTGTAAGATAAGACATAATATACCAACAAGCATAACAATAGTAATGATAACATTCCATCCGGGATATTTTGGTTTTGTCACGCAGCAAACGTTCCCTCTGTATGACCGCGGTCTGTACATAAGTTTGACCACAGACAGTCGAGTGATTGATATTACGAGCACACACTCTTGTCCGGTTTAAGTTACGCTATCACGTCACCAAACCTGACCATCCAATCCGTTACATTGACGCCTACAGGAGTATAGCTTGGTTGAGACCCCGATTCCCCACGGGGTAACACCCGTGAAGATCCGGGTTAGAATTGGCCTTCAGTAACCCATGCTTGTCGTAAGAGGCGACTAACTGGATGGGAGGGTCAGGTTCACTGACTTGGTTGACGCATGTCATCGTATCCCAAATACGTAGGTCGATGCTTATGCTGTTGATCACATGACTGACTGGTCCAGACTCGATTATTTATACAGACCACATAGGTGGAATATTGTGCAAAGAAACAAACCTACGGAGTAGTGGGGTTTAGCTATATGAAGATTGATTGAATCATAGGCGGATCCAGAAATTTTCACCAAAACAGGGGGTGGGTGGTGGGGGTATAGGGTTCGAACCCCACCTTGAACCCCACCATTGCAAAACATTAACTTCAATGTGGTCTTTAGTCATTTTCGGGGGTGTAGGGTGTGTTGGGGAGTCTTGGGGGGACACCCCCCTCCCCCTCCCTCTGGATCCACCACTGTAAATTACATTTCAAATTCAGTGATTAGACTTGTGCTTGGTATGAAACTTAGAAAATCACCAAATATATTAGCAGCAATTTGTAAATTTAGCAATCCTCTTTCCCCACAAACAGATCACCAAGCGATGTCCCAGTCAAAGGGAGATCACTCTAATCATTCTCGTGTTGCAGATACACACAACGTAGAGACATTTTAAGGGAGCTTCTACCACACAGTAAGTTAGAACAAACGAAAAGTCTGTAGGCACATCACTATTACATAACAAACGTTTTTATCTCTTTATATGTCGGTTTATTCTGCTTAATAAAGTGTATACAATGTACATACGACCATTTGTTTTTAACGTTGCCCTGCATCCAGCGATTGCGCCGTACAGTACACAGGCTACGCGAGGCCTGCGGCTTGAGACATATTTTAGTGTTCGTAGCGCCAGGACTGTCGTAACACTGTAGTCTAACATAAACTTACGAATGTCGTAACTGCACGAATGCTTTGTGGATCGGGACCAAGATAGAATATCAGCATCACACATTTCGGATGGTAATATTGCCGAACAATATACTGAACGATTCAAAGACAGGGTCGAGAAGTCCTCTTACAATCGCAGAATACATTTTACGACATCCGTCCCATATGATAAGGAAGCTTTTAAAACACGGAGACCCACACCAAATGGCTTGAAATGACAGACAGGCGAAGCTCATCCCCCAGAATATGGCAGCCGGAAGTCCTAACAGTGTACTGAGCACCGTGTACCAACAATGCATGCTCTCTGTGAATGCATGGCGGGCGCACTTCCACGAACAGTTTAACGACTTCACGCTGTCCGGCTCGCCGAGAACATCTTCAAATGTCACCTGGGATACAGAAACACGAGTGAGTGAGTGAGTGAGTTACAGGGTGCAACATGATAACGGCTCGTTGACCTTAAGGTGGGAGAAGAACCCGAGACGTCGTAGGTCTAAGACGCGTATATCAAAAACATTCAAACCAAACTGGCAAAAAAGAAAAAAAAATAGAAAGGAAATAAAACCCATACAAAACATTAAAACAAGAACCCCAAATACCCCAAATCTTCTCGCCCCTCCGAAAAAAACACAACAAATACCCCAATTGCACCCGGTAAATAAGCAGATACAGTGCGGACCCTGTTTCAGGCGGAATCTTTGATAGCTTTGGCTTTACGAAAATGCCATTATTTTTCGGCCTATGGACGCTGTCGGTTTTTTAACATGACCACCCCAGGCCCCAATTTCTCGAAACAAACTTAAGTCTGAGTTTTGTTAAACTGAAACATAGTAGACAATTTGAGTTTGGTGGATAGATTACTTAAGTTGTTTGGTATGGGCTTTTCTATTTTAAAAATGCAGTTAAATTTAGCTGTTTCAAATTGTCAAACTCAGTTTGAAATTGAGTAAAAACTTAAGTTTGTTTCGAGAAATCGGGGCTAGGGCCTAGTTAGTCGTAATATATAAGTTAATGTTAATGTATGACACTTACGAATATCTTAGCGCTAAGAGAGCTTCGAAAATCTAGGCCCAGGTGATTTCTGACATATCCGCGATTTCTCATAGAACAATATCTTACCTATATATTCGGCAATGTGTGTTATGGTATTTTAGTAGAGAGGTTGCACATAGATTGAAATCTATGGAGAGCCATATTTTGTATCAATATACCAAACCATGTTCATAAGAGTGAGTGAATGAGTTGAGTTAACGCTGCTTTCAACAGTATTCCAGTGAGAAAAGCGAGATTTATGGATGTCAACTCCTTTATTGTGAATAACACGACGTTTCGGAGTGTATGCTTGCTCCTTCATCACCTGATGAAACGTCGTGTTAACATGTGAAGATGATAAAGTAGCAAGCGTACACTCCGAAAGGTCGTGATATTCAGAATAAAGAAGCTGACATCCATAAATCTTGCTTTTCTTATGCATTCCACTTCTAAATGCCCTTCAAAGATTTGAGTACTCCAGTTATATGACGTAAACCCCACGGGCAGGGTCATGGTATTGACAAACCTAGAAATATATTATGGGCGAAGACCAACCCACGATCACAGTATTCTGGTGTAGCCAAGGGACGCAACTCTGAGTTTGATCAACTGTGCCCCCATGTTGATAGAGAATGTTATCGAGAGCACAAATATCTATGACTGACCACAGCATAGTCATTAAGCTGGTTGATGTCACGGTTTCCTTCAATTTCCGGCATCAGGGATTTCTTCTCCTCTGGAAACTACAGCTATACCAAAGTAAGCCTTGGTCTAATATAGTCCCTCATTAACAATGATGATGATGATGATGATGGGTTCAGGCCAGAGCTCTTTTGTGGTAAACGACCTCTGAAAAAACAACACGTCGTTACAAATTTCAGAGGTAAATAATCTGGCTTTTTGTTTTGATTACCTTGCTCCGTATATGTAGAGAAGGCCCTTACAAAAGCAAGCCTGCCTCCGTAGTGAATGAGTGAAAGTTGTTTTAAGCCGCATCAGAAATGTTGCAGCTATTCCAGGTCCCGCCTCCGTAAGAAAAGTTTGTGTGATCATGCAATACTAAAACTATATATATTTTTTCGTGCTCATACAGAATACCGGATACCTACCAGCCATATTGTTTAGTGTGACGTCACCCTAACCCTAAACCTTACCCTAACCCTTAACCCTTACCCTTACCCTAACCCTAAACCTTACCCTAACCCTTACCCTAACCCTAACCCTAAACCTTACCCTAACCCTAACCAAAAGTAAACTCGCGTGCTTTCAAAGATGGCGGAAGGTATCCGGTATTCTGTAATCTTACCGATTACACCGGACACCTACCATATTGGATTAGGTCCCTAAACCTAAACCTAAACCTAAACCTAACCATAAACCATGACCCTACACCCCTCAAAACAATCTTAATAAATGAAATACATTGACCGAAGCGGCATGGAAATGGCTTACGTGTCCGGTGTAATGCATTCTCACCTATTTTTGCAATAATAATAAGTGGTATTGAACATTATGCAAGTATCCAAACCTACCTTTCTTATGTCGTACATGACATTTTATCCATAACGGCAGTATGACGTCATAGTGACGTCAAACACAGGGTGACGTCATACACTTAGTCGGGAGATCCTACTGTGCCCATTCGTCACCACTCGCCCCTTTCCGTAACCTACAAGAAGTTATTCGGTATTCGGCTTGTCCCGGAATAACACGAGTGGGTCACGAATGTACTGTGCCCCGTCTCGCATCATGATCGCAACGTACTAGCCGCCGGTACAGGCCAAAAAGACGATGTCTGTGAACGATGATCATGATTCTCTTTGCAAAGCGGGAATCGTCTCTGGGAGATCATTGAGTGCTTTTGATTTAGAACTCTGTGCATGCTTATTATCGTCGGATCCCTTTGATATGTTACTGACATGTTTTCAGATCGTTATGAATGCTAAAATGAAACATACAACGGATGTTCTTATGCGTCCGAAAACCCATAACACAAGGATAAATAAAATGTACAATACAGGACGTGTTCTCCATACAGTTTGTCCATAAATGATATCTTGAAAATTATCTGGTTGGTTGGTTGGTCAGTCAGCAATATTCCAGCTATATGGCGGCAGTCTGTAAATAATCGAGTCTATACCAGACAACCAAGTGATACATTTTTTCATTTCTTACGAAAATTATGTCATACAAATGTGTTTTCTTCATAATTTGTGACCCGTGAAGATCCGGGGTAGAATAGGTCTTCAGCAACCCATGCTTGCTACAAAAGGCGACTATGCTTGTCGTAAGAGGCGACTAACGGGATCGATGACTTGGTTGACAAATGTCATCGGTTCCCAATTGCGTAGATCGATGCTCATGTTGTTGATCACTGGATTGTCTGGTCCAGGCTCGATTATTTACAGACCGCCGCCATATAGCTGAAGTATTGCTGGGTGCGGCGTACAACTCCCTAACACTCATAATTTGTTCATAACCAATTAATATATTGGCATAAATGCTATGCTACACTATTGTCCATTATTGTAAGATTATTATGGCTACTTCACCTTGCAAAGCCACGCACGTTCGACACACAGTCGTTAATACAGCTGTGTAATAGGACGCAAGTGCAGCTGTTACCGATGATGATGATGATGATGATTTGTTCACTTGTTTCTTGCATAACGTCGAACTCTATATTCCATCTATATGACGGCGATGTATAATTCTAAGATGCCTAGCGGTTAGAACAATCGAAAAAAACAAACATTATCAGACAATAAAGGTATAGTTTTTTGATGACGTAACAATTGAATGACGTTTTCCCGTCACTGCGCCATTCTAGTGTGCCCCCCTCGTAATCGAACCATTTTACATTACGTCACAATGTAAGCGACGTTACGATGCATGTCAGTTGTCATCGCCTCGTACGGCCTCCTACAGTAAACTACACCGTTGCATCCGGTTTCTTGGTTTGCTGTTGCTTCACGCAGCTAACATCACTGGTAGAAACATTACGTTTATGTTTTACGACGGTTAAAATGTGTCATTTCGACTCACAAGTTTTCAGCGACACGGTAACGTTCGTTATGTTTACATTCCAACAATGCAATTGTGGAATGTCGCTTGACTACTCAACTTCCTCTGGATGTACTGATCTAAACTTATGCTCGTAGTAGAAATGCAATGTTCATATTGCCCCATATGGTTTACGTTAATGACAGATGTAATTAAAATAATTCAGAGAAGATATTTAATCCGAACGTAAACCGTCATCAAACTGTTATCATTTGTTTTTCCTGGTAACGTTCGTCTTAACGTAGGGGGCAGACACATCAATAGAACAGCGCGCCAGTTAGCCCTGTGCGAGGATTCTTAATTTAGGTCACCGACACCGTCGTTTGTTTTCTGCCTTAAATTAATCGTAATTATCTTTAGAAAGTA